CCCACCAGCATCCACATCCAGAAGATCATCAGACGCCATTTCCACCAGCTCCAGCAAGATGCCACCACCAGACACATTTTTCTGATGAAGGGTCTACGCCCGAAACGTCAGCCTTCCTGCTCCTACGATGCTGCTTGGCCTGCTGTGTTCATCCAGCTCTACACCTTGTTGTCTCAGATTTTCCAGCATCTGCAGTTCCTACTATCTCTGGGATTAATTTAGTTTGGGATTATGTTCGGCATGGACTGGTTGAACCAAAGGGTCTACTTCCGTGCTGTATGACTATGAGTCTATAAGTTTTGGAAATTCATTATTAATGGAGAATATATCATGCTAAATGAAGCCTAAGCAGTGACCCCTGATTCAGCATACAGTAAAACAACCTACTGATGGTGCAGGGGGGAAATGTAGGGCTGAAGTTAATCTGCCGTTATTGATGAAATGAGTCCTAGATTATGGAGAGAAACATATGAGGAAATACTGGAAGCTTGGCAGTCATTTTCCAATGCTCGAGCTACCAGCATGGACACAATTACTAGCATTCATTCGATTCATCAAGGGCAGTGACCATGGATTAGTTAAAATGGAGGTCCTGTCTGAACAACATCATTGATATTTTTGAGGAGTTGAAGAGGAGAGTTCATGAAGATAGCAGGGTTGATGTATCATGGTTTCCAACTGAAACTGGCAACTTGAATTCGAAATTAGTTAGGGACAGGGCAATGGTCAATGGATGTTTTTGTGATTGAAGGCTTTTTTCAGGGGTGTTCCACAGGGCTTCATACTAGACCCCATACTTTTCATGGGATACATCAGTGATTTAGACTTAACATAAGAACATAAGAACTAGGAGCAGGAGTAGGCCATCTGGCCCCTCGAGCCTGCCCTGCCATTTAATAAGATCATGGCTGATCTTTTTGAGACTTAGCTCCACGTACCCGCCCACTCACCATAACCCTTAATTCCTTTACTGTTCAAAAATTTATCTAGCCTTGCCTTAAAAACATTCAACGAGGTAGCTTCAACTGCTTCACTGGGCAGGGAATTCCACAGATTCACAACCCTTTGGGTGAAGAAGTTCCTCCTGACCTCAGTTCTACATCTGCTTCCCTTTATTTTGAGGCTATGCCCCCAAGTCTTAGTTTCACCTGCTAGCGGAACAACCTCCCTGCCTCCACCTTATCTATTCCCTTCATAATCTTATATGTTTCTATAAGATCTCCCCTCATTCTTCTGAATTCCAATGAGTATAATCCCAGTCTACTCAGTCTCTCCTCATAATCCAATCCTCTCAACTCTGGAATCAACCGAGTAAATCTCCTCTGCACCCCCTCCAGTGCTAGCATATCCCTTCTCAAGTAAGGAGACCAAAACTGCACACAGTACTCCAGGTGTGGCCTCACCAGGACCCTATACAACTGCAGCATAGTCTCCCTGTTTTTAAACTCCATCCCTCTGGCATTGACAGACAAATTCCATTTGCCTTTTTAATTACCTGCTGCACCTGCAATCCTACTTTTAGCGATTCATGCACAAGGACACCCAAGTCCCTCTGCACAGCAGTGTGCTGCAATTTTTTACCATTTAAAACATAGTCCATTTTGCTGTTATTCCTACCAAAATGGATGACCTCACACTTATCAACATTGTACTCCATCTGCCAGACCTTTGCCCACTCACTTAGACTATCTATATCCCTCTGCAGACTTTCAGTGTCTTTTGCACACTTTGCTCTACCACTCATCTTAGTGTCATCTGCAAATTTTGACACACCACACTTAGTCTCCAATTGATTGTGTGACTGATTATAAAGAAGAAAGCTACAGTCTACAGGAGATATCAGTGTCAGGTGGGTGGATGAGTGATAAGTGCGTGACAATGAATTTGGGAGGGCGAACAAGGCAAGGGAATGCAAAGTCAGTAGGATAATAATCAGTGTAGAGGAACAGAGGATCTTAGATTACATGTTCATGGATACTTTAAGGTAGCAGGATGAGGTGGTTGAGTAGGCATTTGGATTATTTCCTTAAATAGCCAAGGCATAGAACATAAGAGGAGGGGGATTATTGTTAGAACTGTATAAAACACTTGTAAGGTGACTCTAGAGTATTGTGTTTACTTCTGGTCATCGCATTACAGGAAGGTATTACAGAGGAGATTTATGAGGGTTTTGCTAAGAAATGGTGAAATTTCAGTTGTGAAGATAGAATGGATAGATTAGGATTGCAGTAAGAAGTCAGTAATCAGGGAGCATAAGTTTAAAGTAATTGGCTAACATAGAATCTGGTCTTCAAGAACAAACATCATTGGATAATGATTTGGAACGGCAGTCAGTATTGTAAATATTCCACCACTCGCACAGAACTATGCTTAATTGTTGAAGATGCAATTTTATGAAGAATTAATTTGTGACAAATAACACTATATATTTTGTTAAAGCATTTTTAAAGAAATTCATTGAATATCTTTTTTCAGATTACATCATACGACATCCCTCCCAACTGATAAAGTCAAGTTACTTTTTCTTTTTCCAAGTGCCGTGGCTTCCTGAATTTGTTCTTACAATAAGTGATTTCAAGGTGAGCAAAGATTCAGCCATAAATGATTTGATTCAAGGGCCATGAAATATTTCAAACATATTCTACAATAATTGCATTAGTTCTTGACCATAACCGTGTTTCCCATGGATTCACAGCCTACATTTCCTTTTATTCATTCATGGGATGTGGGTGTCACTGGCTGAGCCAGCATTTATTGCATGTCCCTAGTTTGCCCTTGAGAAAGTGGTGGTGAGCTGCCTCTTTGAACCGCTGCAGTATATGTAGTGTTGAACTATGCTGTTAGAGAGGGAGTTCCATGGTTTTGACCTGGAGACAGTGACAGAACAGCGATATCGTTCATGCTAAGATAGTGAGTGGCTAAGAGGGAACTTGTAGATGTTGGTGTTCCCATGCATCTGATGCCCTCTGGGTTGGTAGAGGTTACAGGTTTAGAAGTTGCTGTCAAAGGAGCCTGAGTTTGTTGCTGCAGTGCAGTTGCTAGAGTTACAGCACTCACTTTGTCAATAGCAATAAATATATTAGGAATTATAGATAGAATTCAGTTTCTGTCTGTCATTTAATCTGGTGAGTCAAACCACCTCTGTTAATCTGTGTTTGTCATTGTGTTTTTTTAAATGAACTCTTTCACGGGATGTGACTGTTACAGGCCACGCTAGTATTTATTGCCAATCCTTAATTACCCTTGATAAGCTGGTGGTGAGCTGCCTTGTTGAACCACTGCAGTCCAACTGGTGCATATATGGCCACAGTGCTGTTGTAAAGGGAGTTCTGCAGGTACACTATTAGGAAAGGCATACAAAAAACAGCTTGCTGTGCAAGATGACCTTGGGATAGATCTTTACCATGTGCTAGTGTAAAATGCATGATGTTAACTCAGCAACCTGTTCTATTCCTCTTCTCAGTTTGACTTCAACGAATATAAAATTCAAGGAGATGCAGAACGGATTGCCAATTCTCTATCACCTGTTTTATGCTATTATGCTAAGTTATGACCTACACCTTAAAGACTGCAAGAAAATATAAACAGCATTGGGCAGAAATTAAATGGAAACTGTACTGTTATCACAAAATATGGTTATACAGTGCATCACCAAGTAAGGTGCAGGGAGCGCAGTATCAAAAATAACTGCAAGTATGTCAACCGTAATTAACTAATTTTGTGTTCTAGGTGTTAAAGGACTTATTCACAAGTCAGAGCACCGGCATTAGGACAAAAGGCTGTAAGATGACTGCGGATGAGATCGAAGCCTATCTGTACATCTTTTCTCAGCCTGGAGCCTTCTCTGGACCGCTCAGCTACTTCAGAAACATATTCAGGTACAACAATTGCTAGAACTGTACAAGACAAAGCCTGCGCAAAAATTACATACAAACATGATAAGGTAAAAGCCCTGTAATTAAGTGTCCCATTATATTTGTTTGCTTATGTATTTGGATTAAATTATCGGAGCTTACCCTGATAAGGATCCAGGCTTTCCATATATTTACAGTCTGTCAGTCAATTCTTAACATTGACACCCAGCAAAAATATGGAAAAAGGCACTCTTTATTTTTACAATCTTTTACCGTCTAACACTAATTTTTTAAAGAATTAATTCTGCTATAATTCACAATCAATAACTGTTACCTATTGGGACCAGAAAATAGGCTGTGGCACAGATTAGAATCAGGTCAGATTTTTGCCTGATAATTGCTCCCATGAAATAACTCAAGTCTTTGTAGGGATTACATAAATAAATGCACATTGTTTTTGTTGTTGGCCCAGAGGTTACAAAGACAGCTTGAAAACCGACATTGTATTTAACAAGGTTACAACTTGACAACATTACCATCTTCCTTGGCATTGTTCTCTCATTTCCCTCCAATGGTATTTTTCTCTGTGCAACACAAACTTCAGAGTCAAATTTTGGGGCGCTGTCTATTCCTGCTGGCCTGTTTCTACTGGTATTTCCAGATTTGAGTGCAGGGAAACTGCAACCATATTAGTCCTGCTCCCACCTCGCTCAGACTTGCTAACCCTACCTCACCCCATAACCCTGCTCTTTCCCTCCTCATCACAGTGCCTCCCTCCGCATCACCCTCCATCCCCATCAGCCTGCACTCTTCCTCACCATCACACCCCCCATCACCTACACCTTCCCTCCCCATAGCCCTGCATCCTCCCTCCCCATCACCTACACCTTCCTTCCCCATCTCCCTGCACCCTCCCTCCCCATCACCCTCCCTCCCCATCACCATCCCTCCCCATCACCATCCCTCCCCATCAACCTCCTTCCCTATCACCCTGCACCCTCCCTTCCTGTGTGTCACTATCCTCCTGACCCCTCATTCACTGTCATCTGGCCCCCATCTCTTTCAACATCACTCTGTAGCCCTCCCTGAATGTTGTCCTGTGACCCTCCTTCACTTGTCACTCTACCCTCTCCTTCAGCATCTCTCCGTCCACCTTCACTGTTGCCCTGTCCCCTCCTTCACCGTCACTACAGTTCTGAGCTGCACTCTCAATTCTGCTACAACTTACCTGTGAACATCCTCAGGATTTTACAGCTGATGTTAACTCTGTTCTTCCAAGTTTTGAGAAAGGTCAAAAAGAAACTAATGAGAAATCTCTGGCGATGCACAGAATGAAGAAAACTGGAGAAGAAACCATGTACAACTACAGAAATCTGCCGTCACTTCACAGCTTTTAAACACATTTTCTTGCCCCCATTCCCAGTGATTTATTTCTGAAAATACTGGGAGTGCGGAGATCCTGTTAAATTTTAACACCAGAGCTTTATTTAAATTAATCTGTTTCCTGCCTGACTTTGATTTGATTTGTTATTGTCACATGTACCTAGATACAGTGAAAAGTATTGTTAGGCTTTCTATCCAGGCAAATCATACCTTACATAAGTACATCAGGGTATTAGAACAGATGCAGAATACCGTGTTACAGCTACAGAGAAGGTGCAGAGAAAGATCAATTCTAATATATGAGAGGTCTGCTGATTTGTCTGATAACAGCAGGGAAGAAGCTGTTCTTAAGTCTGTTGGTATGTATTTTCCAACTTTTGTATCTCCTGCCCAATGGAAGAGATTGGAATACAGTATAATGAAGATGAGAGAGATCTTTGGTTATGTTGGCTGCTTTCCCAAAGCAGCGGGAAGTATATACAGCGTTAATGGAAGTAAAGCTGGTTTTCGTGATGAACTGAGCTGTGTTCACAACTCTCTGGAATTTCTTGCGGTCTTGGGCAGAGCCATTGCCATACCAAGCTGTGATGCATCCAGATAGGCTACTTTCTATGGTGCATCTATAAAAACTGTTAACAGTCATTGTGGACATGTCAAATTTCCTTAGTTTTCTGAGGAATAGAGGCATTGGTTTGCTTTCTTGACTGTTTATCAATGTGGCTAGACCAGAAAAGATTATTGGAACTTGAAGCTCTCAACCACATCACCTCAGCGCCACTGATACAGACAGGTGTGTGTCCTCCACTCCACTTCCTGAAGTTGATGACCAGCTCCTTTGTTTTGCTGGCATTGAAGGAGAGATTGTCATCTTTACACATATCATCAGGTAAAGCACTCACTTGGTGGATCTGGCCCTTCTTCTTCCCTTCACTGCCCTGAAACCTATCCCTTAGCTGCTCGTTTGAAACAGCTCCTAGAATCTTTGAGGTGGAACCTTAGTTAAGTGAGAAAGTACAGGCTTAACTCTCCAGAAAGGACTACTGAATACATCTAAACACACCATGGTTAAATTGAAAGGAGGCATGTTTGCTGTGGATTTGCATTGGATTTCACAGATTGACATGAGTCACCAACAATGCCCTTTCCCACCAAGACCCAGCCCCAAACCTGATTCTCTCCATCATGTCCCTTTGAATTTAGACTTTTACCCAGATGAATCAAGTGCTGTACATTCTCTCTTTAATAGCAATTTCACTACAAATATAGCTTCTGGACAACTTTACTTTTATCAATACTTTGATCAGAATAACTGTGCAGGATTCTGAATTTCTTTTCCCTCCAATAAGCCTATTAATATGTTTCCTGCAATCCCATAATACCCTGTGCTTGTCCTTGTATCATCTGTCTCAGTATTTAAATGTGGGTCAGAACCTCATTTAGCTTTTTAAAATCAAGTACTTTAAAAATCATTTGAAATGCAATCTTAGAAATTGAACATCTATAAAATCTTTGGTGGAATTGCCAACAGATTTACTCCCTCTTATATCTATTTACTCTCTCTAGTATTGGATTCAAGTATTAATTCAGCAGATTGCAACAGAAAGTAGAAGGTGTGGTGAAGCAAGTACTTTTAAGATTTCAGTGGGCTTAATTGAGAATTGGGTTGAAGGGAGAATAATTAATATGTAGAATGAGTTAACGTAACTTGTATGCCACTAAGTTTCCATGGCACAGGTCTAGTACTGATGACTTATTTACCTTTGCATCTGTAAATGCTCTAGTGCCAAGGGGGATGAAAAACCTCGCAAACAAAACAGCTGTTTATTTATTTGAACTATAAAAAAATGTCCCTGATGTGTACAATCCTGGCATGGAATGAATAGTTTTAAGTGTGAACTGAGTGCTGTGGGACTTTTGTTAAATATAGGCCAAGCAAGGTTAGGTTGGCAAGTTTCCATCCCTGTAGGAAATTAGTAAATTACTTCGGTTTTTATCAATCCACAATTTTCATTAAGCTTCTGCCAGTCTAGAAATAACTTTGTGGGATTAAAATTAATGTTCTTTTGATTGTTCATATAGTACAATACCCATTGTACAACTAGGCCCTTCGGCCCATCAAATCTGCACTGACATAACTGCCACCAAAAGTACACTGATCTCAATTTCCTGCACTTGTCCCATATCCCTGAATGTTATGACAGTTGAAGTACTCATCCAAATATTTTTAAAAGTTTAAGATTTCCAACCTCTACTACCTTCCCAGGCAGTGCATTCCAGATTCCCACCACCCTCTGAGTGAAAAGGATTTTTTCCCAAATCTCCTCCGAATCTTCTGCCCCTTACCCTAAAACTATGCCCTTTTGTGAATGACCCCTCAACTAAGGGTAACAGCTGCTCTCTATTCAACCTGTCCATACCCTCATATACACCTCAATCATATCCTCCCTCAGTCTCCTCTACTTTAAAGAAAACAATCCACGCCTGTCTTGGCTCTCCTTATAGCTCTAACCACTGTCCCTTGACATTGAATGGCATTACCATCACTGAATTCCCCAGTATCATAGAGAAACATGGGCTGAATCTTATAGAGGCCTGAGAGACATGGGCTATGCCGAGATTTGTAACAGAATCACATCAGCTACATTTCTTATCAAACATGCTGAGAATTCTCAACATGGAAGTTTGATTGGGTACTTGGCAACTTCAGCTCACCACTTGCTCTGTAAACCTGCATGTTGAACACTGGGTGCTAACATCTCAGGGCATGCTGTGAGGGCACTGGCCACATACACAACTGATGTCCACAGACATTGGCATCTGACTATAGCCAGCCTTTAATAACCCTCATGGTATACCTCCGGTCACTTACAGTGTGCTGCTGAACTTCAATGCTGCACAGATAATAGCATGACTATCACTGTAACGCTGCTGTGAGGACACTATGTGCTCATCTAGCACATGGACTTGACCAGGCTGCATCTCTGGCCTGTTCACTCTGTCATGGTGCTCGATAACTCTGAGTCTACTTGGGTGCTCACAGCGTCCCTGCCTTGTCTTGCCATTTTGCCAGAGATACCAGGTTCACAGTATTGCTGTATTGCAATACTGCCTACAGCAGAGAGAAAGGAAGGATGCTTGTCATAGCTGTCAGCAGGCCTCACTCAAGTCAAGAGGGATAGCCTGCACTCAGGAGCTGTGGCATTGTAAGTCAAGGGCAGCCTCTGATACCAGTCTAGTGGCTTGGCCATAGTTGGTCAGCCACTCGAGGCAATCAGAGTCAGGATTCTCTCCTCAGCAGGAGTGAGAAGTCAGCTGTCAGGCAGCCACCACCCATCTTGACTCATTCTTCTCTAACATGTGCTGTTTCTTCCAGGAATGAGAGAGCGTGAGACAGAGGCAGGGAGATCAACGTAGGTGGCACAGCTGTTTTGATTCATGTGGAGAGGTGTCCTGGGCAAGTAAATAAGCAGCACAGAGGGCAGGCAGGGTTGGTGATAACAAGGCTTGAGGTAGCGCACAGTGAGTGAGGGCAGGTATTGTAGGGATTAGTAAGCGGAGGGGGGTTGAGTATGAGCTGTGATGGGAATGGGTAGTAGCAGAGATAGATTGAGAGTGAAGTAACAGGGAGAAGATGATGGCAC